TCGTAGCCCAATTTGTTCAACTTTCGAAGCATTGGTTGTGGAATGTACGGTTGGGTGTTGTTGTGGAAAAGAATTGGGCCCTTTCTGTTGAACAATGCTGGCTGCGAGCACTGCAGTTTTCAATGTATCTCATGATTTGCTGAGCTTACTTCTCAGGTGTAATGGTTTCACCGAGATTCAGAAAGTTGTAGTGGATCAGATCAGCAGCAGTGGACCAGCTGATCCACTATTGATACTGGCCTGCTGATTCAGTACCACAGTGGGTCAGTTCTCGTGGATTAGCAGATAACCGAATAGTGAGTATGATCCCTTTTATGGTGCATAAAGGGTTTGGCTCTGGGAAGTGTTTTGAAGCTTCTTCTCGGGCCAACCACTGAGCTGCTCATTGCCGGTTGTCATACAAAATTCACTTTTCATTGCACGTCACAATCCAATCAAGAAATGGTTCATTGTTGTTGTGCAGGATGAGAGAAGATGACACATCAAAATGATGATTGTTTTGATTTTTAGTCAGCTCATGAGGCATCCACTTATTGGGCTTTTTTCACCTTTCCAATTTGCTTCAAATATCAAATGACCAAAGGGTCAAATGGTCAACGTTGAGTTCTTTGGCACCTTCTCATGTAGTTGGAAGAGGATCAGCTTCAACGCTGGCTCTCAATTGTTGTTTGTCAACTTCCAATGGCTGGCCATTGTGCTCATCTTCAAGGTTCTCATCTCCTTTGCAAAACTTCTTGAGCCACCATTGCACTGTACATTTGTTAGCAGTTCCTGGGCCAAATGCATGGTTGATGTTGCAAGTTGTCTCTCCTGCTTTATGACCCATTTTGAACTCAAATAAGAAAATTACTCAAATTTTCTTTTTGTCTAACATCATTTCTATAGTCTAAAATACCTATAAAATAAAAGAAAGTAGTAAGTCATTAGCAAAAAGCATCAAGCAAGAAATGAACATTAAAATGGTATATAACATAACCACATTTATTAAAGGATATATTCCAATATTAGATAGCAAATTTCAACAATGCCAAACTGTAATTACTTTTGCACCAATCTAATACATGCAGAAACAGCACAATAGGGTCTGATAAGGGAAAGGGAAGTTGCTCAGTTGTGTCCGACTCTTCGCAACACCATGGACTGCAGCCTACCAGGCTCCTCCATCCATGGGATTTTCCAGGCAAGAGCACTGGAGTGGGGTGCCATTGCCCTCTCTGAGAGTCACCTTGAAATCGGTCATGCAGTGGTCTGATCAGTGTCATCGAGATTGTTTCAATACAGTTCATCTTTGGTTCCAGGGTCGATTTGTACCCATTTCTTGGAATTGTGGCAGCTTATGTCATGGCTACACCTGGTCATCATGTAGTTAACTTCTTCCACCTGCTGGCAGTTTCAGTATCTATAAGACAGCTCACAGAACATGGCTCAGAATATTACCTATAACCCTTAAGGAGGACCTAAAGTCTTTGATTTTGTTTAATGATTATTATTATACCATCCTCTTTGCCTACTTTCTTTGCTTCTGCAATTTCTCACTTCTTTGATTAAATTTATTCTTTGGCTGAAGTTTTTTCTACAGACAAGAGGCAGGCAGATGGCATGTGGTGGAGAGAGCAGTATCTATTCTAGGAAGACTCCATAGGATCCTGCTCTGTTTCATTAGGATAAGCCATTAAGAAACTGACAAGCAGAGGCAGGGTCAAGCAAGGGGCTCAGGACTCTGCACCCAGCAACAGAGCCACCCTTAGTGAGGGGCCCTTGCTGCTCATTCATGTTGGCTACCTCCAGCTGCTTTTGCCACCCTATGCCAATTCCAGAAGTTGCAGCCCTGGACCTGCTTGGAGAAGTGGCTCTGACTGTAGGTGACAAGGATGCAGGTGGACCCGGAGCCCTGGGAATCACCGTGCTGCCCACCTCACCAGAGTGCCATCAAAGCAAATCTTTTCAGCTTCTCTCTGAGTTGCAGCCCAGACACAGAGCATCGGCTTGTGGAAACTCCCCAAATGAACTGTGACATATCAACAGTGCTAAAGGGGATAACTTCCAAGGACACTACCAGGCAGAGAGAAAACAGAAGTGACAAATGAGGCAAGACAGAGAAGGAGCAAAGCATGCAGGTGGGCTGGCCACACGAGTGCCCTCAGAGGTAGGGCTGGCCTCTGGCCTGAGCCCTCTCTGCCTCCTGTCCTCAGGGCAGAGGTAGTGCTGGATGAGAGGTGGCCATACTCTATGTCCTTCTCCTGTACAATGAGGGATGCTTCCCCACAAGAATCTGTATCTGAAACCATCCAGCCTATCAGAGAACAAGGCTGTGTGGAAGGGAAGCCAGCCTGGAGGTGGTGAGAGCAAAGCAGTCTGAAGTCCACAGCATCCAGTGGTCATGTTCCAGGGTGGCCTCCCTGTTCCCGCCAGCTCCTCCAACAAGTCTTATGGTGATCCAAGTCAAGGCATCAGTGCCTGGTGATGGCGGGGTAGTGACACAAACTCCCAGGAGGGAACCACATCTTAGCAGTCTCTGTACTCCTTGCACAGAGTAGAAGGGCAATAAAATATTTCATGAACCCCTTGTGGGTTCTGCCATATCTGGGGGACAATTCAGGAATTAATGCATCTAGGAGGTACCCTGACATTCCATGGTCTAATTATATTAATAACTTCCAATGGTTTAAGTTATAAAGCCTAGGTGTACTCCAATCCCAGATTCTTCTATTTTTTCCCACTCAGACTAATCCTTCTTTTCAATCCTGACATATCCTCTCTTCTCATTTTCTTCTTTGTCTCTTGTTTCTTCCACTGAGCACCAGTAAAATAGAATAAAAATTGTGGCAATTTATTTTGATAGAGGAAAATAACTGCAGTTAGATCCCTGATAAGACTTACCAAGTCTAAGGAAATACACCATAAGTGATCATCAGAAAGTCTTTTGTTGTTTTCAATTCTCTCACAGGTCCAAAAATTGGAGGTCTGAGATGGCTTTTCAGTGGGAAATCAGCCATAACACTATTCCCTCTAGTGTGAGTACACTGTTGCCACACAGCAATTTCTCACTTCTTCCTACTGCAAACACACATAGTGCTGCTGGAAATAGTTATTTCTCTCCTCTCCCAGCTCAAAGATGTGGATATGTTCTATACACAGTGGGTATGTGCATTTTATATGTATAGTTTTATATATATATAATTTTTTAGTGGATAAGTTGTGTCTGACTCTTTCTGGGACCCCACGGACTGTAGCCCGCCAGGCGACTCTGTCCATAGGATTTTCCAGGCAAGAATACTGGAGTGGGTTATCATTTCCTTTCTCAAGGGGTCTTCTTGACCCAGGGATCTAACCCTTGCCTCCTGAATTGCAGACAGATTCTTTACTCCTGAGCCACAAGGGAAGCCTATTCCACCCAGGGAATATATATAAAGTATTTATTGCTGCTGCTGCTAAACCGCTTCAGTCGTGTCCGACTCTACACCACACCAAAAATCTTCTCTCAGGTCTAATATAGGTAATACAATTTACCAAATCACTATAATCACAAACTACTTGAGAGAAGGAAAGAGACAGAACACTAATGAAATATGTGATGCTTATTTCTTTTTAAAGAAGTACCAGAAAAAGAAAGGTCATTTAGCACACTTCTAGTGAAACCACATAATTTCTAAATTTTATACATGCTTTCAGGAGAAGAAAACTGTCAGAGGCAGGAGGAAAACTTCTGTTAGTCACTTGATGATTATGATCACAGGAGAAATGGCTCATTACTGCCCTAAATATCTTACTAAAATTCTAATTAGGAGACCTGGGTTTTGGCTTAAAAAAAAAAAAAAAAAGATTTAACCTGCCACTTAGCTGACTCATGTAATTCTGATATTTTTCAGTAAAACTTGGGTTCCTCTGAAAGACTAGAATTTAGCCCATTTAAAAATCTTTGTCCACCCCGGGTAGATAGATGGTTTTCAATGGATTTGGAATCATTTACTTATTTTATTAAAATCCTAAGTTCTACTGAATGACGGGTTCTCTTGATAGCTGGGTTTGGCAGTATTCCTACCTTGGAAGCTTCACTGATTCCTGAAGCTTCTCAAAAGGCCATAAAAGGAGAGAATAAACGCAGCAAGGTGGCATATGATATAGCTGTATTGTTAATTCCTATAAATATATTTCTGAATGAGTGTATTACCTTCTTTGAGTCGGAATCTATTTTGTTTAGGAAACACTTTTCCCAGGAATTTTGAGCCAGGAATTCTCTCGTAGAAACACAAACTGTTCCCTTGTGTTGTGCCTTTCAGACTCTGCAGGAGTGGGGCAGGGTTGCTTCCTCTCCGTTGCTGACCTCTTCTCAGCACGGTCTCCGCTTCCTTCCCTGAAGGCATTTCCTCGCTGGCCCGCTCCCCGCGCCGGTCCCCGTTGAGGCCTCGCTGTCCTTCTTTTGGAGCGTTCACCTGGTCCGTTCTCGCCTGCTTCCACCTCTGGGCGCGGCTCCTTCCCCTCCCCACTCTGGAAAGGGCGCTTCGTCACCCAGAAGAAGCAAAGGCCTTCCCGAGAAGCGGTTATCTTCACTTAACAAAGAACTGGTTCCTCAAATGCAGAACGCACCCCTTTCAGTTTAGATCTCAAATTCCGGAGGGAACCAGCTTCAGTAAGGCCACGCCCGCCGAGGGTGGAGCGGGAGCGCGCTCTGCGCCCGGGATCCCGGGCCAGCACCACGGTCAGCGCCCTGTCCGCGGCGCGCCCCGGCCACCCGAGCGCCGCCCCCGCGCCGCAGCCGGCAGATCGCCCTGCAGGGGACACGCCCCAAGGTCAAGTCGGGCCAAGGCGCGGGTGCAGGTCTGAGGAATAAATCTGAGCCAGAGGGGAGGGCCGTGAGCTGCGGAAGACTTAACTCACGGCCTTGTAAGGAGTGCACTCATTTAGAGTATTGTGAAAAGTGACGGAGGAAGACGGAATCCCTTTTACACCCCGACCTCCACAGCTCCCCGCCCCCGCAAATAAACACAACAGACCCCTTAACGCAGCAAAACAGAACGGCTGAGTTTAATGCTTCAAGTTTTCCATTTCCTTCCACAGGGTTTCGTTTTACAAATAACAAAATGAGGTAAACAATGTATGTACACATTATAAACAGCGTGTCAGTTTGCGGCAGCGGTAACGCAGATGGTTGGAGAGCAGCTGCCGCGCGGTGGCTCGAGGTCAGCCGCCTGCGCCGCGAGCAGATTCGTCGTCCTGGGGAGAAGTCGCGGCTTTCGGAGAGGCGTCTAGAAGCACTTGCGGTGGACGATGGAGGGGCCGGCCTCGTCGTACTCCTGCTTCGTGATCCACATCTGCTGGAAGGTGGACAGCGAAGCCAGGATGGAGCCGCCGATCCACACGGAATACTTGCGCTCAGGCGGGGCGATAATCTGTAAGACAGTGAGGACTTGTCGGGTGCGCGGTCGCGGCCGGGGAGCCCCTCACAGGCCGGGGTTTGGGGGAGGGCGCCACCCACCTTGATCTTCATGGTGCTGGGGGCCAGGGCGGTGATCTCCTTCTGCATGCGGTCGGCGATGCCAGGGTACATGGTGGTGCCCCCAGACATGACGTTGTTGGCGTACAGGTCCTTCCTGATGTCGATGTCGCACTTCATGATGCTGTTGTAGGTGGTCTCATGGATGCCCGCCGATTCCATGCCTGGGGGCCACGGAGGGGAGCATGAGACAGAGGGCGGGAGGCCCCGGGGGCTCGCGGGGCTGGCACCGGCCGGATGGCGGGGGCGCGGGGCTCACCGATGAAGGAGGGCTGGAAGAGCGTCTCTGGGCAGCGGAAGCGCTCGTTGCCGATGGTGATGACCTGACCGTCGGGCAACTCGTAGCTCTTCTCCAGGGAGGAGGAGGAGGCGGCGGTGGCCATTTCGTTCTCAAAGTCCAGGGCCACGTAGCACAGCTTCTCCTTGATGTCGCGCACGATCTCGCGCTCGGCTGCGGGGAGCGGGGCGGGAGAGGAGCCCTCAGCGCGGGGTCCCGGGGACTGCACACAGTCTGCCGGCCCGCCCGCCTGGGGAGCCCGGGGCGCCGCGCACCTGTGGTCACGAAGGAGTAGCCACGCTCGGTGAGGATCTTCATCAGGTAGTCGGTGAGATCGCGACCAGCCAGGTCCAGACGCATGATGGCGTGCGGCAGCGCGTAGCCCTCATAAATGGGCACATTATGGGTGACGCCGTCGCCGGAGTCGAGCACAATACCTACACGCGAGGGTGGGGTCGGGGATGAGCGGCTGGGCCCTGCTAGGCGCTCGGGGAGGGGGGCGAGGCTCTCGGGAAGAGGGGCCGGGGGCCCCTGGGCTCTCACCGGTGGTACGGCCGGAGGCATAGAGGGACAGCACGGCCTGGATGGCCACGTACATGGCCGGAACGTTGAAGGTCTCAAACATAATCTGGGTCATCTTCTCGCGGTTAGCCTTGGGGTTGAGGGGGGCCTCAGTGAGCAAGGTGGGGTGCTCCTCGGGGGCCACGCGGAGCTCGTTGTAGAAGGTGTGGTGCCAGATCTTCTCCATGTCATCCCAGTTGGTGATGATGCCGTGCTCAATGGGGTACTTGAGAGTCAGGATACCCCTCTTGCTCTGCGCCTCGTCGCCCACGTAGGAATCTTTCTGCCCCATGCCCACCATGACGCCCTGCGGAGCGGATATACCAAGCTCTCATTACCGAGGTTCCCAGTGGAGCGGGGCTAGGCCGCGTGGAGATCCGGCCCGGCTCCCTCCAGGGTACATGGTGGTGCCCCCAGACATGACGTTGTTGGCGTACAGGTCCTTCCTGATGTCGATGTCGCACTTCATGATGCTGTTGTAGGTGGTCTCATGGATGCCCGCCGATTCCATGCCTGGGGGCCACGGAGGGGAGCATGAGACAGAGGGCGGGAGGCCCCGGGGGCTCGCGGGGCTGGCACCGGCCGGATGGCGGGGGCGCGGGGCTCACCGATGAAGGAGGGCTGGAAGAGCGTCTCTGGGCAGCGGAAGCGCTCGTTGCCGATGGTGATGACCTGACCGTCGGGCAACTCGTAGCTCTTCTCCAGGGAGGAGGAGGAGGCGGCGGTGGCCATTTCGTTCTCAAAGTCCAGGGCCACGTAGCACAGCTTCTCCTTGATGTCGCGCACGATCTCGCGCTCGGCTGCGGGGAGCGGGGCGGGAGAGGAGCCCTCAGCGCGGGGTCCCGGGGACTGCGCACAGTCTGCCGGCCCGCCCGCCTGGGGAGCCCGGGGCGCCGCGCACCTGTGGTCACGAAGGAGTAGCCACGCTCGGTGAGGATCTTCATCAGGTAGTCGGTGAGATCGCGGCCAGCCAGGTCCAGACGCATGATGGCGTGCGGCAGCGCGTAGCCCTCATAAATGGGCACATTATGGGTGACGCCGTCGCCGGAGTCGAGCACAATACCTACACGCGAGGGTGGGGTCGGGGATGAGCGGCTGGGCCCTGCTAGGCGCTCGGGGAGGGGGGCGAGGCTCTCGGGAAGAGGGGCCGGGGGCCCCTGGGCTCTCACCGGTGGTACGGCCGGAGGCATAGAGGGACAGCACGGCCTGGATGGCCACGTACATGGCCGGAACGTTGAAGGTCTCAAACATGATCTGGGTCATCTTCTCGCGGTTAGCCTTGGGGTTGAGGGGGGCCTCAGTGAGCAAGGTGGGGTGCTCCTCGGGGGCCACGCGGAGCTCGTTGTAGAAGGTGTGGTGCCAGATCTTCTCCATGTCATCCCAGTTGGTGATGATGCCGTGCTCAATGGGGTACTTGAGAGTCAGGATACCCCTCTTGCTCTGCGCCTCGTCGCCCACGTAGGAATCTTTCTGCCCCATGCCCACCATGACGCCCTGCGGAGCGGATATACCAAGCTCTCATTACCGAGGTTCCCAGTGGAGCGGGGCTAGGCCGCGTGGAGATCCGGCCCGGCTCCCTCCGGGAACTGGCAGCCTGACCTGGTGACGAGGGCGGCCCACGATGGACGGGAACACGGCCCTAGGGGCGTCATCGCCGGCGAAGCCGGCTTTCACCAGGCCGGAGCCATTGTCGCACACGAGGGCGGTGGTCTCGTCTTCGTCACACATGGTATCTGGTTTCTGCAAGGACGGGAAGGCCAAGGAGGCGCTTAGTGTTTCAGGCAAGAGGCCTCGCTGGCCGGAGCGCCCTCCCTCCCCGGGGACCTATGGACACCTCCGGCCTCCAGCCTCCAGCCCCCTGCGCGGCGCCATCCTGCGGGGGAAGCAATCAAAGCCGCGCCGGCGGAGCTTCGCTGCTGGGAGCTCTGCTTCGAGGAGACCACAGAGAGCGTTTCTCCACCTGGGAACTCAGGACACACGGTCCCGAGAGTTCTCTGCCTTCGCTGCAGGCGCCGCCCTCTCTGCCCCTCCCTGGCGTCGCATGGGGGTCAAGGTCCGCGAACCCTGATTGCTGGGCCACTGTGAGGGTGGAAGGAGACGCCGTGGAAAGGGCTTGGGCGCTCCACCAGGGCACGAATGGCCTATTTTGGACCTCCATGACACTTCAGACTCACAGCCCAAGCGCCCTTGGCACTGATGGTGAGCGAGGGGAGTTCCTTCTACTGCCCTTTGGTTCTGTTGGGAAGGAACTCCGGGGAGGACTAAAGCAAAACCTTTCATCTACCTCGGCACTCACGAAGTGTCAAGGAGAGCTGCCCCAAAGGGCTGGGAATAAATCTGGAGACCTTTTCCAAGGACCCCTGCTTCCTGTCTCTTCTTTGGAGCCCACCGCTCCGACTCCCAGGCCGGAGGCGCGGCTCTCAGGACGCGGGGCGGGGGCTGATGCAGTGAGCGGGCGCGCTCTCCCCGGAGATCCTTGGACTCCCGCGGCGGGGCCCGTCCTCCGGTCCCCACCCCGCCCCTGCCTACCTGGGCGGGTGGCTACACCTGCGGCTCTCCGGCTCCGGTCCCGGTCACCGTGGGAAGGAAGCGAGACTTCTCCGGGCGCTGTCCGCTGCGGTGGCCGCTCGTCCCCCTGCTCAGGTTTTATATAGCCCCGGGGCGCTCCCCTCGCGCCGCCCCGCAGGAATGTCGCTCCCCTTCTCGAGCCATATTTGGGTGTCGGGCACCAGAGCCCCCTCCCCCGACCGGTCCAAGGCCTGGGTCCCCGCCCGGGTCCCCTGCGCTGACCAAAGAAGGAGCGGTCTGGCCTGAGCCCAGGTAACACGGGCCGGGCCGTATATGGAGCGTCTGCCCGCCGGGCGGCCCCTCCCGACCCGGCCCAGTGGCCGGGCGGAGGGCCTGGGGTGCGGCGGGGGTCACGGAGTGTGCGGGGCGCGCCAGGGAGCCTGCGCCCCGGCTGCACCTGTCCGCAGCCGCCCCGCCCCCGGCCATTCGGCGCTCTGGAGCCTCGGGAAGGTGCACCCGCGTTTCACCTCTTCGGGTTCTTTACCCCCCAACTTCTCAAGTGTGACTCCACCGAGGAGGACTCTATATCCTAGTGGGGGGCCCGAGAGGACCGGAGATGCAGTCACTGCCGGAGTCCCGGGCAGGGGAGGCAGGCGGTCCCTCCCCGGAGACTCCCAGCGAATTCGGTCTCTCCCCCAACCCCGAGCTCCCCTAATCCAGAGGGCTGACCCCGTTGGCCCCCACCCCCACCGGAGAGGGTCACCGGCGGCCGGCGGGGCGCAGCTGTCGCGAGGACAACTGGCGGCGTGAGGAGAGGGTGGAGAGTCGGGGAGGAGGCGCTGGGCTCCCGGGACAGGCCCCGCAGCGGCTCCCGCATCTCTGGCACTGAGCCAGGACCCCCGGAGCTGCCCGCCTCGGGGACGCGATGTGGGCTCGGGAGCTCAAGAAGGGAGTGAAGTTGAGTGAGTAACTTTCCGGCTCCGGAGTGTGGCAAGCCGAGCTGAGCACCCTACTCCCCGCATCCTTGGCGGGGCTCACCGACATCCCAGTCCTGGGGCACAGCCCTAGGGTGGGAACTGAGAGGTGCTCTTACTAGGTGAGGCCTCACCCGTCCCTCCTCCCTGTAAAGAGGACAAGGGCATCGTCCTCTAGGATGGGCAAAACCTTTCCCTTCTGCAAAGGCTGAACAAACTCATCGTTATATTTAGAGGGTGATGCCCAGCCAAGGCCAGCTGATTCCCGATCCACCTTGGAGAGTCACGGTCCACCAGAGCCTGCCGAGCAGTTCTATTTATACCACTGATACACTGGGATCTGTCTTTCTAATTTTCTAGTAGGATTTAGATGTACTTATGGTAAAGGTGGAGTAGGGGTCAGAGGAGGTTATTAAGTTGGTGCTTCTCACTGTTTTTTCCCCTGGGGGTAACAGTTCTAACCTTGCTGTGGAAAGTACAAGGAGAAAGAGTTTTCTGCAATGAACTCAGGGACATGCTTTAAGGGGTACATCAGTGATGTGGTGTGAGCCAGAATGGAACCACTCATTTTTCTGATGTGCTCAAGTGTTCCCAGAATAGGAACTTGGTGGTGGAACTCAGCAACTGGGACAGGTGTGGGTCCTTGAAGAGGGATATAAAAGCACATACGAAACCCTCCTTCCCAGCCGCACACCACTGCAGGCCTTCCTAAAAATGACCAAAGTCAATTACAAACTAGGGAGTTAGTATGGGGCCTCTGTAGTGTGTATAAAGCCAGCGTGCCTTCATATTCAGCTTTTTAAATTAGAGAATGAATGAATGAATAATGGACAGAACTACATTTCAATACCTTGTGTTCTGCTGTGGCAGTCTGACATGGAGACCCTAGAAAAAAAATAACCTGGCAAATGCACTCTGTGTGCAGTATGAGGGGAATAGCTTCAGTTTTGGTCTTAAAGGTAGAAGTATGCTGCCATTGACTGAATACGTCAGAACTTGGTGACATCTTAAAGGGAAGGAGGTTGTAGTTTTCAAAACTCTTGCTCAGGGCAACACTTCTCAGTGCAAGCTTTTCTAAGCTCAGGATCTATCTATTAGATTCAAACACACATGAAAAGCTATGAATCAAGCACTCACAAGCTAGCAGAGACCTGATGGTACCACAAACCCTGGGGAGGTGGGCCCTAAGAACACCAGTTGGCATCTCTGCTCTCTGTCCTGGGTCAGGCTGGTTGAAATAGTCCTGGAGAGCCACTGCGGGGTGGTTGAACTCTCATTGGCTCAGGAACGGCCCAAAGAGCAGGTGGAAGGCAGTCTCCATACATGTACGCTCTGGGGATCACCCCAGTGCCTTGCGTCTGAGTAAGCAGGTCACTGCCTGCACAGCCTTTTGAGAGTGACCCTGGAAAGGTCAGCCATGCAAGCTATGCTCAAATGAGAACTCCTGCTTCTAAGTTTGCAGGGGCAGCCACAGCTCGATCATCTGGCAGGCTCGTCTGCCACAGTACAGGGGATGTGCTCACATCCCCTCAGCCGTGTCCCTCACCTCCTCGCACATTTGTGGATCCCAGCCTTGTGCTGTTGGTTTCTGACCTATTTAGACATGAACTTTTAAAATGCTTTGTATGCTTTCATATTGTTCCATTAATCCTGTAACTATCTGGAGGTACGTGAGACAGTACTAGTTACACTAGCTTTAAACATAAGAAAACCAAGGTCCAATGAGCTAGACATGTCCTGGGTACCATACTGCTGGGAACATGCAGCGGCTTGGAAGACTCTCCCTTCCCTAGGAGTGGTCGGGCTACCTTCTGTCTCCCTCTAAACTTCTTCAACACTTGGGATGTTCTGGAACTTAACAGATCCTCAAGGGATCTTCTTCAATGAAGGGCCAAAGACATCTTCAAGTCACGGCTTCACACACGGCCATCCTGTCATCTCAAAAAAAGAATAGTGTGGGGGGNGCTGCCTGGCAACACAAAGTCAGCAACAGTCCAGTAACCAAGTGGGTAAAGGAAAAAACCCAAATTTGCTGTCCTCCTAAGCCACACCTCTAAAAATGTGCAGGCAACTGCAGCAATCAGGAAGAGAGGACCTCGATCTTCTACTGAAGGCTTTCTCAGCCCAAGACCTGCTCTGCTTGGTCATCTCTAAGGGACTCATGACTCCACCAGAGCCATTCCTGCCCCTTCCCTCTACTTGCTGCTTCCCACGTCAGCTGTCGTGAATCAGTTAAAAAGTTGCCCTTCAGTAAAGCCCATTTGAGTGCATCTGTCCTCTAATGGGCTATGTGACCTGGGGCAGGTGGCTTCCAGAGACAATCAGCCTTCTCAACTGAGGATGCCACCTACTGTTTGAGACTGATTTGAAGGTTGAAACTAGGTAAGTGCATGGAATACACACACAAAAAACAACGGTACACTCTCTTTCTTCTAAAAGGGTTTGGAGGCGGTGAGAGGGATGAGGTGTTAAGAGTGAGCAAAGGACAACTAAAAACCATTACAAGTGTTCACTGAGCACTTAGACAGGAAAAGTCAATGCATTCTAAATATATCTGGAGTGCACATTTTTGTATAGAGATTTATTCCAGTATTTATTTAAAATGGTAAAAAATAAACAAATCAACCCAAGACCAATAACCCAGTGTTTTAAAACTGTTGAGAAGAGAGACAGAGATCTGTACAGCCATATGGTAAAGTGTCAGGCAGTCATTAAAAAAAACGTATCTTGAGGAATATTGAAGACATGCATTCTTGAAGGGGGGAAAGTTAGTTCTCAGGTTAAAAGAATCTTAGATATTACAATGATTTGTGGCTCCAAAGGCTGTGGTACATAAAAAAAATATACAATANCTGGTTGGATCTCCTTGCAGTCCAAGAGACTCTCAAGAGTCTTTTCCAACACCACAGTTCAAAAGCATCAATTCTTCGGTGCTCAGCTTTCTTTATAGTCCAACTTTCATATCCATACATGACTACTGGAAAAACCATAGCCTGATGAGATGGACCTTTGTTGGCAAAATAATGTCTCTGCTTTTTAGTATGCCGTCTTGGTTGGTCATAATACCTCACATCAAAATACATAGGTTATAAAAGTGTGGTACATGTACAATCTAGGATATATTTCAAAATGGTAACTGAAGTTATTTCTAGCTAGTGGGATTACAAGGGTTTATTCTCCTCTATACATTTTTAAGAGGTTTCACATTTCCTACAATATTTTTTAACTTTCAGAATTACATAAGCCTATGTAAAAAATATACTTTGGTATTCAATGAGTTAAGTTTACATAAGAATATAGACAGCTGTTTTCTCTAGAAGTATTCCTTGAATAAACTGTCCAGGAAAAGGTAGGTGGACTACACTGATACTTCTGTAGTTATCAAATATGCCCATGCATGGGGAGAAAGACTAAGATCATCACAGTGTGGCTCTCCTCCAGGTCTAGTTACGTGGAGGACTGTGCCACACACCCTGATTCCCCGACAGCCCCTCAGTACTTGGAGGGTGATGGATGATTCAAGAAAATTATGATTCAGACTCCAAAGATAAAAAGCAGCACAATCCAATTTCTAAAAAATTTTCTTCAAAAACAAAACCCCAAAACAAAGGGCATCAGTATCAGTCGCCTTCTACCTCACCAAGAATTCCAGCATGTCTCTTGCTGTGATTCTCAAATTCTGTCTTAATCCTTGACACATTCACAAATTCCTAAAACAGGAGAACACACAAGGCCTGCTCTTCACAATCAAACCCACAACCTTGTTGTTTGACTGGGGCCAAAAGCTGTGACTTTCTGAGTAGTGTTCAAAGACAGGAGCAAAGAAAACCTTTTCCAAGTCAGAACCATTTCAGTCTCCTTAATAAACATGCTCACCTTTGTAGTACTTTTATAATTTATCATTATCAACTATTCAGTTTGTAAAATAATCGGTTATTTTCTGATGAAGACTATGTTGTGGAAATTTTTTAAAATTTAGAAGAAAAAAAGTACTCAATATCTTTAGGCTTTAATTACGCTATTACTGTTAAAATGTTTCTTTTTTAAAAGCCCCAACCATCTTAGAGCTATGGCCATCCCTAACAGACAGAGGTGGCAGAGCCTCTTTCTCTGTGAAAATGAGACAATCAGCCGTTACGCCGTGAGAGCAGCACTTCACCCCGTGGTCAGAGGGCCAGGGTCACCGTCACTGCCTCCCCTCACACGGGGTAACTGGGTTTGTGGCACTCAAGGAGGCGGCACGGTCCTGGGTCCCCAGAGCACAGTGTCACATGACAGGATCTCACGGGTAAGAACTAAGTCCCTCTGAAACCAACATCCTTTAACACAAGAATCCAACCATTTTTTATGCCCTCTGACACCTCTCTCTCCCTGACCTCACGCTGCCCCACCACGGCAATGCAGGCAGAGGCCAGGGGCCGGGCGGGCCCTTCCTGCCCTCTGGTTAGCACTGCGAACGGCTCAGAGGCACCCTCTGCAGCCTGCAGTGGGGCCCGCATGAGGGCTGAGCTCTGCGAAGCCAGAACCGGACTCTCTGCACCACATTTAACTCCTGACCTTTTCGGCTGCTGGAGCAAGTTGTATAGTGAGCACTCAACTGGGCCAAAGCCTGAATACGCCAGCAACTCCGTCTTTCTTTAAAGACAGATCAAAAACTGCACGATGACATTGGCCAGGACAAAGAAGCTTTGAGAACAACTACTTTTCAGTTAAATCAGTTGCCATATTAAGAAAATCTATAAAGGTTTCTATAAAGGTTCCACCCCTTACATTAGCTAGACAGACTGAGGTGAAGCTGGAATTCAGTGTAAATCATTCTGAAATGCATGAAGCTGACTGAATAGGTTGTGGTGGTTTAATTGCTAAGCCATGTCGGACGCTTTGCGACCTTACGGACTATAGCCCACCAGGCTCCTCTGTCCATAGGATTTCCCAGGCAAGAATACTAGAAGGCCACATGAATATGCTTTATTCACCAAAATATATTTATTAATACTCTAAATCGGTTATTTTCTGATGAAGACTATGTTGTGGAAATTTTTTAAAATTTAGAAGAAAAAAAGTACTCAATATCTTTAGGCTTTAATTACGCTATTACTGTTAAAATGTTTCTTTTTTAAAAGCCCCAACCATCTTAGAGCTATGGCCATCCCTAACAGACAGAGGTGGCAGAGCCTCTTTCTCTGTGAAAATGAGACAATCAGCCGTTACGCCGTGAGAGCAGCACTTCACCCCGTGGTCAGAGGGCCAGGGTCACCGTCACTGCCTCCCCTCACACGGGGTAACTGGGTTTGTGGCACTCAAGGAGGCGGCACGGTCCTGGGTCCCCAGAGCACAGTGTCACATGACAGGATCTCACGGGTAAGAACTAAGTCCCTCTGAAACCAACATCCTTTAACACAAGAATCCAACCATTTTTTATGCCCTCTGACACCTCTCTCTCCCTGACCTCACGCTGCCCCACCACGGCAATGCAGGCAGAGGCCAGGGGCCGGGCGGGCCCTTCCTGCCCTCTGGTTAGCACTGCGAACGGCTCAGAGGCACCCTCTGCAGCCTGCAGTGGGGCCCGCATGAGGGCTGAGCTCTGCGAAGCCAGAACCGGACTCTCTGCACCACATTTAACTCCTGACCTTTTCGGCTGCTGGAGCAAGTTGTATAGTGAGCACTCAACTGGGCCAAAGCCTGAATACGCCAGCAACTCCGTCTTTCTTTAAAGACAGATCAAAAACTGCACGATGACATTGGCCAGGACAAAGAAGCTTTGAGAACAACTACTTTTCAGTTAAATCAGTTGCCATATTAAGAAAATCTATAAAGGTTTCTATAAAGGTTCCACCCCTTACATTAGCTAGACAGACTGAGGTGAAGCTGGAATTCAGTGTAAATCATTCTGAAATGCATGAAGCTGACTGAATAGGTTGTGGTGGTTTAATTGCTAAGCCATGTCGGACGCTTTGCGACCTTACGGACTATAGCCCACCAGGCTCCTCTGTCCATAGGATTTCCCAGGCAAGAATACTAGAAGGCCACATGAATATGCTTTATTCACCAAAATATATTTATTAATACTCTTATTATTCATGTGGAAAAAACTGACATTTCCCAATGAAGTAAAGTTATAAAGCTCACACTGAATTGCCCCACTTTGTCTGTTTCATAAGTTAGCAAATTGTGACACTTATCCCACTAGACATTCTGCTCCCAGCCCTAATCAAAATCAAAACAAAGATTCCAGACACTTTCCAGTATGTAACACCTAAGAGCCACAGCAATTTCAGACATGACTTAGTGCAATCTTGCTGTTTTTAAGAGTTATAGAAGCTAAAGTCTAGAAGTGGTCTTTGCATACAAGAAGCTGGAACCAGGACCCTGGATGGAGTGAGATAAAAAGGAACGGTATTAGGTATGAAAACTGATAAACCTTGATGGAAAAGAAGAAGAAAAAAAATATCATGTAACTGAAAACCAAAACTATAGTCATACAACTATTTTGTAGTAGCTTACAAATAAAGTATAAAAATGTCAGAAATATGTGTTATAAAACTGTACAAACTTCTAGATGTTTAAGGTCCAAAGTTTTTATAAGGACACACTTATACAAACTTTCAGGAAAAACAACCATTTTTATAAAGTCACATTTGTCCCTGGACATAGTATTCATAATTGGCTTTCAAAACGAACTCAAAGTAAGGGCTGGACTTCAAACTTCCCAGCTGGTCAGCCTGCAGCAGCTCCTTCACCTCGGGGAGATACTCGCTGAGCTGAATGCCTAAAAACACAAACACAGAAAGTTGGTGTTTGTTTTTTTTTTTAATTTTCACATAATTCTCAAATGAATCAAGATGACGGATGATAGAAACACCTGTGCTTCTATTTAAAATATAACGTCACTCTGCTGTTGAAAAAATACTCTGTTCTAAATTCCTTCCATCTGCCAAGCATACTCACAGGCCTGACAATATGACATTCTTCACTTAGTAGGGGCTACATGACTGTTCTACATATTCGGGCTACATGTTTAACTCTAGTGGTCAAAAGAGCCATCAAAACAGCCGCTCCATTTAAAGTCTTTATAACAATCTGCAATACTTTCAGTTTCCTCCATAGCTTAAGCCATTCCTTCAGGGTGGAAGTTTTAAGTTAATAATCACTTGAAAATAAGTATTTCAAGACCAAGCAAACAGTATTCTAAGCAGCTATACAGTAAAAGTAGTAGAAGGTATCAGTGAAAGATTGCTTATAAACCAGCTGCAAAATTTGCAAGACAGGAATCCTGAGTTATCAAGGAAGACAAAGTTATACCACATCTTCTTTAAAGACTTTCAGACATTTATCTGTCCCCCAGATCAAATGAATCCGCCCAGACCCACTGTTTTACCTGGATGGGTGGTCTCCCCACAGTCCAGAAATGCCTGACTGCAGAGGTGCTTATTTGAGAACTGGTTTTTAATGTTTTTTTTCTAGGGTGATTGGTTCACTTAATTTTTTAAAAATTAATTTCCAGTCAACTTTGGTAATATATATTTTCCTTGACTTTGATCAACTTTCTTTTGTATTTCAAGTTTATTTTTGAAAGACATAAAATTCTTTAAAAATTAAAAAAAAAAAGAAAACAAGTATTTCCAACAATTCTGTATTCTCCTATTCAGGAAATAATTTAGTAGAACACTGCCATGAATGCTATCTGCAGCATCTCCTAACACACTGACAGTTTCTCTCTGAGACTGAGGTGGGGAAGCCATGCCTTCGTCAGTCCTCGATGGGGCTGGAAAGTCAATAAGCATCTGTCTAGTTACACAACAGTATATACATTTTCTCATTTGATAAATAAAGGAAATTGGAGAAAACATTTTAAATTAATAAGGTAACATTTTATAACCTGTCATATTACAAGCTTCTCAAAATCAAATACTGTTTCTTTTTAACATCATCTAAGTGCATAGCACCATTTCTGGTACTTAGTTATTATACAATAAAAATCTTATAATAAATGTTATGAGACTTAATCTGCAATATTTATCATTCATTACAATCAACACACTTTCAAAAAGACTTTTTCTCTGCGAAACAGTATTACACTTGTGAAAATATCAATTTCCTAAAGACCAATTCTCTTAAAAACTTAGGACCCCACTCTACATGGGAAGTATTCATTGGCTCTAGGTGATGGCCACGAGGTTAATATTTCAGTCTAGTGGAGCAAATCTTTGGATTTTTAAGAGAAGTCAGAAAACAAGACATTTTAAAAAATTTATTTATTTCAATTGGAGGCTAATTACTTGACAATATTGTAGTGGTTTTTGCCATACATTGACATGAATCAGCCATGTGTGTACATGTGTTCCCCATCCTGAACCCCCCTCCCACTCCCTCCCCATCCCATCCCTCAGGGTCATCCCAGTGCACCATTCCTGAACACCCTGTCTCAGGCATAAAACCTGGACTGGCAAACTATTTCTCACATGATATTATAAATGTTTCAATGCTATTCTCTCAAATCATCCCACCCTCGCCTTCTCCCACAGAGTCCAAAAGTCTGTTCTTTACATCTGTGTCTCTTTTGCTGTCTCACGTATAGGGTCAT